CCTGTTCTATTAATCTATTGCTATATAACAAATTACCCCCAAAATTTGACAGCTTAAAAGAATCCACATTAATTATCTCACAGTTTCTGTGGGTCAGAAATCCAAGCATGACTTTACTGGGTCCTCTGATTCACTGTCTGTCACGGGGCTGTGATGAGAGGGTCTGCAATCTCATCTGCGGTCCACCTGGGAAGGACCCACTGCCACACTCTTTCGGTAGCTGCTGGAAGCATTCATTCCTTCACGAACTTTTGGACTGAGGGCTTTGGCTCTTCTTTGGCTATTCAACGGAAGCTGCCCTGAGTTCCATCCCATGTGGCCTCTTCTAACACTGCAGCTTGCTTCATCGGAGTGTGCAAGCCAAGAAAACAATAGAGAGTCTGCTAGCAAGAGGGAAGTCACAATCTTTTGTAGCCTAATCACAGAAGTGACATCCCCTCAATGCAGCTGAATTCCATAGGATAAAAGCAAGGTATTCACATGTCTACACAAAGACTTTATATGACTGTCTATAACAGCTTTATTTAAAAGAGCACCAAATTGGAAACAACCCAAATGTCCATTAACAGGTGAATGCATAATAAGTTGTATTATAGCCATACTAGGGCACTCAATCCATAGGAATAAACTACTGATGATGTTTTTTATTTCCCCTGGGTAAATATCTAGGAGTGAAATGGTTGAGTCACATGGTAGGTATATGTATAACTTTATAGGAAACTGCCAAACTGTTTACGAAGTGATCGTCCCATTTTACATTCCTACTAGCAGTGTATGAGTTTAGTTCTCCACATCCTCCCTAACCTTTGGGATGGTCAGTTATATTTTATCTGAGCCATTCTAATGATAACTTATTTTAGATTTAATTTGCATTTCCCTGATGATGAATGATGATGAGCATCTTTTCATATGCTTATTGGTCATTCACATATTTTATTTTGGTAAGTGCTTGTTCAAATATTTTGCCCATTTTTCTTACTGGGTTGTCTTGTTATCAAGTTGTTATGTATTCTCCACATAGTCTGAAAATAAGGCCTTTGATATATATGTTAAAAATATGTTTTCCATTCTATAGTTTGCCTTATCATTTTCATTATGGTATATTTCAAAAAGCAAAAGTTTCTTTTTTTAAAAATTTTGATGAGGTCCAATTTATCATATTTTTGTATGTGCCATGCATTTACTGTTCCAAGAAACCTTTGCCTTCCCCGAGGTTACAAAGATATTCTGTGTTTTTCTACAAGTTTCATAATCTTATGTTTTACCTTTAGGTTTACGACCTCCTTTGAGTTAATCTTTGTGTATTGTGGGAAGTGACAACATTCATTTTTTTCCCAGACTGCCTGGGATTAATAACCCTGGTTCTGTTATTTACTGTAGATCATAGGCAACTCTATGTTTTTGGTCCTGTTTCATTAACAGTATAATGTAGCACTGCTAGTGTTAGGCACATGTCAGGCCCTGGCTAACAACGCAGATATTGTGATTAACGTATTAGAAAAGTGATTGCCCTGGGAGAAAAACAGGTAAGATGACTAAAAGTGTGAAAGTCAAATTGTGTACACATAGAAAGGACAAAGAGGGCACTGATCCTAGACGAGGTGTAGGTTGTCAAAGCTTCAATACCAGCTTCCTTTGTGTGCTAGGCTAGTGTATAAATATAGAAGACACACAGAAAACCAATCTTTTCATAGGTTCAAATCCTACCCCTTTGATGTTTGAAATTAGAGTTTTCAGTGGCTGGTAAAAGCCTCTTAGCTCTGAATTTTGCAGAGGGCTCAAACTTTATGGCCTAAGAATCCTTAGTTGGTACACGTATTTCCAAAGAGTTATTACTTTGAAAGGAACACAATTCAACAAATGTTTTTTTCAGTACCAGGCATAAAGGGGTCTTAACTCCTGAAAAAAAATGGAATCCAATCCATATATTCCCACAATGAAACGTCCATTGTTTAAGCCCATAGGGGTACTTACTCGAAAATTAGCAATTCCATTCTTTCTGTACTAACCAATGGCATGAGTTTCTTCCCAGTTTGGCTCCCAGATCTCCACTAAGATTTTGACTGGAAGGTTTTGACTGGAACCCCTGGAGGGTCTGTTGCAGGGGCCATGTTATGCACCCCTCAAAAAATACACTCTTCCATGTCCAAAATTAAAAATAGAGACCTTTGTACAGCTATGGGGAAGCTTCCCCATACTAATTTCAGAGACAGGACAACTCTACTCTTCAGCAACCAGCCTGTCACTTTACCTCCAGTGACCACCATTTCCCAGATGAAAGTCAGGGTAAGTGTAGGTGGAAAAACTATGCTCTGCATGTTTTCTGTTTGAGGCCCTAAGCAACCACAACCAGGAAAAAACAAACAAAGAAAAGCTCAAAATTAACGACATGATTAAACTTTCCTGTGACACTGATCAATACAAGGTAATGAAAGGAGAAGTCTGAGTTCGTACAACCACAGACCCCCCAAGAACACACACAGTTGGGTTTTCATTCATTGTAATGTGGGAGACACGCAAAGCGGGAAGCCAGGGGGTATCTCAATAACAGGATGTTAGAAAGAACTGACTATTGGATTCGGGTTTGTGTTGGATAATTTGGGAGAAGTTTCAAGGAAGTAGAGCTCTCCTCTGTATGAGATGTTGTCAAGAATTGGAGGCAATGCTATGATTGGAGTAAATCTTATCTATAAGATGGGAGGAATAAATCAGAGCTAAAGCTATAATTGGGGATGAATCAATAGTCCTTCATATCAGTCAGGATAAGGGAATTATGTAGCATTTTTGTGTCGGGAAAATATTCATGCTTTTGTCATGTGTTGAGTCATGATTATGGAGTGGTCTTGTTTTGTCTTGTTCCATCATGGCACAGAGTGGCTGTGTCTTGGGTTGATGTTCTGTGAAACTATGTTCAACAGAGAAATACCATGGCCCAACTATGAGCCCCATGGCGGCTCCTAGCACCACCGAGGCCTGGCTGATAGTGCCAAGTTAGTTCCTAGCTGTCATTTTCATCAGCTGTAAGGAAGCATAATCCAAGGAATATGATCTAATCTAGGAGAACATGGATGGCTTCCTGGAGGAACAGACATTTAAATTAAGAGTTTAAAGTTTAAAAGGTCTTCAGTTACCACAGTCTCAGGAGTTCATTTAGCCTTTTCTTCTGTTTCTCTTTTCCTCTACTCACCAGCACAATTTTTTCTTACAAATGGATTATACTCAGAAAGCCTTAGTCAAAGCCTGCTTCTCACACCATTTCCAACCATCTCTAAAAGTGAGATTTTCCCTGACTGTGGAGTTTCCTTGAGCAGCATCTGTTAAAAGTTCTTGTGAGAAAAATCATAATCATCATAATAATACTAGTTTCATTTAAATGGTAAATTAATGATGAATAATATGCATTTTTAAAAAGGCACCAAAAATGTTTTAAGACACAAGATGTTTGGGCAGGAAATAAAATGATTGAATATAGAGTAGAATATTACTATAAAAAATGAAAAATTGGGCCTTCAAAGTTAATGAGGTGAGTTTGATTGGTACCTGAAGAAGAGACGGGAAAAGAAAATATATCTTTTTTTTTCTCTTATTTCAAAGCTTGATGGTAGAAGTGAGAAACAGAAGTTTATCCCATTGCAGAATTAACAAACACTCCTGCAAAACTCACGATTAAAGTCTTTAAATCTCATGGAATTCCAGCTCTTCAAAAGGCTTTAGGAGATTAGGAAATGTTAAAGTCTTGTCAATGGGCTAAATATCCCACCTCCTGTCATGCAAAATAACAGATGATTTAAATAAGATCCAACCACTGCCAGTCAAAATGGAAGCATGTTTCTAAGAACTGGCTGTACATCCTCTACTGGGAAGAGTGTACACTGATCTTAAATGCATACAGCCCATGACAGGAGCTGGGAGATTATGCACTGAGTAACCTAAGACATTTCTTACTACTATGGCTTAAGAATTTGAATTCCCAGTGATCGTTCTATTTTAAACATTTGGTGCTAAGGGTAAACTATGGTAACAGTAAAATTCGATAGATGGATTATTTTGTATTCTCTGGTCATCAAGAGATAATGCATTATACATCTCAAACAGTTATTTTTGTTATTTTACTTACAAGTTTGGATTCAATTTCAACAAATACCTATTGAGAGCCCCCTGCTTTGTCAAACATTATATTGGGTGATTTCACATCACTACCATGCAACAATGCGGGAGAGTAGGTATTAATAGCCCTGATTTTTTTTGAAGAATAGTTAGTTAGCAAGGATCTATATTCTTCTACATAACATTTAGTAAAGCAAAGTCCTGTTGATGGTGAGAAATCCAGCACACAAAATAGCATAGGCATCTCATCTTTGACCAACAACCTTGAAAGTATATTTAGTACAGATTCAGAAATATTGCCAATTAATTTGCGATCCAAGCGTGTGAGTCCACATAGTAGATTTCTTTTATAGATATGGAGTCTGAATACAGTTTGAATGCAAATCAATTTTATATGCATTCATAAAAATGTCTGTATAATTAGAGGGTACCAACTCCAGTGCACACAGCATCTGAGAACTAGCATGAGAATGCAGGGGCTAATTACTCTGTAGGATATGAAAAGGCTCAAAGGGCCTGGAGATCTAATTTCTTCCCACTAAAATATGCAGTAGTGAGTGTCTAGAAGTTAAAGCACTCTTGAATTTCACATTTCTTTTATACTGCTAAATATTTGCCAACATATCTTTTACAATCAGACATATTTTCAAAGCTTGTAAATTCTACTAATTAAAAATGATACAAGCTAGTTGAAAGAGCAGCTGTGGCAGCAGACAGGCAGCAGAAGTTGGCTAACAAGAATGCCACAGCGGGTCTGGACCCTATGAAGTTTCTGTTTTCTTTATTCCAATGCTCCCTTTTGTATATTTAAAAGTAGATGAGCTCAATATTTCTGTTTCTATAAGTAATTGTTTTTGCTTTATCTTAAAAAAAGAAAAGAAAAGATATGGATGTTCATTTTGGCTGTTTTATTGTGATGCATAGCTGACAATATGTCAGGTACTATTAGTTGCTATTGGACGTACCACACATAAATAAACAGTGAAGCAGGCTCAAGACTCTCACCCATTCTGGAAAACAGAGGAACACGACGGTAACCTGCAAAAGGAATCATATCTAATTAGAATAATACAAACATATTAATCTGTGTTAGCTCCAGTAGTGCTACTGAGATAGAAGCTATCTTTACGAAGTATGCATTAAAAAGCATGCTCATAGAGTTATACTTCCATCTTGTATATTAATCTTCCACGAAAAGTTAAATATCTGCATTTTTTTATTCTGACTTCCTACTGCCCAACACTGAGCACTCAGCTTCTCCTCCCTCCAAGAGCAGCATGATCCAAAATTTGCCACCACCCTTCTGCTTCAGGAAGACTTTGTTTCCTAGGCACAGCTCAGGTGCTGTTAGAAAAGTAAACCCATTGAGATGAGGGAATTGGGAGCACAGTGTGAATCACCCCAGGAAGCTGATTCTGCAATGTAAGGGCAGCCAGCCATGAAAAGGGGTCAGGAAAGGACAGTCTCAGACTCCCAGTCTCTTCTCCTCAGGCAGGAAGAACGAGTCACTGCTTCTCCCTCCTGGTCGATTGTCATCATCATTTCTCTATGGTAGTCATAACTACTCTTCACTAAAACAGAAGAACTACGATCCATGTAAAGAAATGCTTATGCACGCCAAGTTTGTCTAATTAGTCTTCCCAGCAATTCCACACTCCCACCCCATTTTCCACATGAGAACACATTTCTGTAATTCCACAGAGAAAAAAAATATGTGTCGATGCATAAAATTTCTTTTACATTCTATTTTTATGGATAGAGCTATTTGGTATATCAAAGTATGTCTTTAATATATTTAAAGGTTAGCAGGATCATCTAACTTTGAGGAACATTACCTTTGTTCATACATAGAAGTGGTATAGTATATTGCCCAAGAAATTCATTTCCTGTTATTAAACCTTGATTTTCAACAACGAAACGTATCAATGCCAATTCTGGCACATGAATGATAAATGTGAATGTTTCATTCCATCTTGGACTAAAAGCTGAAAAATATTTTTAAAAAAGATACAAAGAATCATAGACACTATCTCTAGGGAAAAATAGATAATACCTATTCTCTAAGATTTTTCTTTTCAACACTTTAACAATAATGATAGTTCGTGTTTTAGAGCACGTAAGTTTTTATCATACCCACTGAGAGAGGAATAATAACAATATTGGGTGTTCACTATTGCTGGACAATGTTCTAAGATCTTTACATAGATCATCTCAGTTAATCCTCATAACAACTCCATCAGGGTTATTACTCTCCCCATTTACAGATGGGAAAACTGAGCCACGAAGATGTTACATAATATCCTAAGAGTTTCACATAGGTAGCTATAAAGTGGTAGAGCAGGAATTCAAAAACAGGGAGTCTGACTTCAGAGTAGAAAGGTTTAATCATTAAATAATATGACTGATGGGCTTAGGCATTTCCTTAACAAAGAAATTGAGACATAAAGAAGTTAAGTGGCATCATTTTTCTATACCAGGTCCTATTAAGGGAATAGCTCCTTATGCAGTTGCTGGACTGAAACCTAGATAATGACTGCTTTAAAGCCAGCACTTAATCCTTCTTTTGAGTAAGTGCTCATTTCAAAATCCAAAATTGATGATAATTTCTGTCTCTAGCGAAATAAATCATCCCAAACAACCAATCCCTTGCCAAACAAGACATTCAAATTGTGTCACCACAACTCGTATGATATGTATGACCCAAATCATCCAAAACTTAAAGTGCAATTTAAGGCAATCAAGAAATTCACATCCAGATTAAATAAATGCTCTACTTAATAAAGACTCAAAGGTTAGGAAGGGAATAATATGTATAGTTTTTTCGTGTACAAAGGCAATGCTACACTTGCTTTGTTGACAGCTTTTGTTCTTTGAGCTCCATTTCCAGAAGCATTGATGAATTTGTGCCTAATTATACTATATCTGTGTTTTCTCCGGTGCACCTGTGGTAGCAGGAGCACATTCGCCAGATGGCAATCCAGGACGCAGCCTATGCTTGTAGAAATAGTAAACTAATTGGCTCACGCTGGAATAATGACTGTATTACTTTGACATAAGAAAAGAAATAATTCCATGGGGTAAAAGGGCATTTTTAGAGTCAATTCTTTACAAACACTGAAAAACGTTTGCAGAAAATTTTTACACTGATTAATTCCTCCTCCTCCAGCCCTACTTCAATGCACATGCCCTTTCTGCCTTCCTCCCTCTCTCTCCCTCTGTATCTCTTTCTCTATCTCTGTCAGTGTCTCTCTCTCTCTCTCTCTCTCTCAAGCTCACACACACACACACAAAAACCATGAATTATAGGAGAAAGTCCTAACTTTTAATTGTCAAAGTCAAAAAAAAAGTACACCAGGATACCAAATTTGATAGTGATGAATATAAGTTTTCCCAGACATGACCAAAATTAAAGAATTACTTCCACACTTTAACCAAATGTGATCTTTTTCCTCCCAGACTCTCTTGTCTTTAATTACACTACCATTACCTTAGTAGCTAAGTCATCTTAAAATATCTCTTGCCAAGCTATCTAGACATTTTCTCCTGCACGTTTCTCACTTACATCCCCTCTTCCTTTCCTGAGGCCACAGCCCTCTTTACAGCCTGACTTTTACATCCTCTAACGGTTGAAAATTTATCTTGGCTCTATTTTGTATTTCTCATTTTCCTCTCATAGATTTCTTCCTACTTCATCTGCAGAAACAATCTACCTAACGCTCACCTCTGTTAGTGTTATAGTGGATATCCCTGCTTAAAACTCATAAGTTTGCCCACATTCTAGAGAAAAGAAAGTCCCTAACACCTTAGCATGGCTTTCGAGATTTTCCATGATCATCCCCAGTAACTTTCTCAATTTATTTCTCACTAATCTTTCTTAAGCACCCAGTATTACACCCATCTTAAGCTTCTTGGCTCTTCCTTAGCATGTTTGAATTATGTCTTCCTCATGTTTTAGGACTCACATTATTCTTTCTGCCTTAAATGTCCTTATCCCTAATCTCTTTAAAAAAATAAAAATAAAATTCTACTCATGCTCCAAGAACCATCATCCCAAGCATGCACCTTCCATTTCCACTTCTTTATACTCTCCTTAAAAGCACTAATGGCGCTGTATCATAATAATTTTACTTGCATTTCGTCTCTCATACTGAACTGTAAACTATACCAGAGTTAATTGGGACATACATAATAACACTTTAATAAAAACAGATTTTAAGTCTTTTGATACTTATCACCAGGCTTTTAGCATAGCAGAGGCTCAGTAATGTTTGATGAACCAAATTGAATTGCTGCAGGGACAGACTTGTAAAACACAGGGATGTAATCACAATTCTAGAATCATAGTATTGTAAAGGGTACATTGAATAAATTAAGGTTCTATGCATTTTGCAATGAAGATTCAAGTAGAGAGGATAGAGAGAACAAAAGATAGGTCGCTTGTAAGCCATCAACAGTTCCTATTTCTTGGCACTGCCATTGTAATGTGACTTCCACTCTAAGAGGTGCCAAATGAGGCAGTAAGTCATCACCAATATCCCTTCACATCAATAATATGGGGTGAGGCAGAAAAAACTACGCAAATCTCTTTTCCATGACTTTTGCTCTAGAGACCACGTTGGGGGGCAGTATTCAGGGGAACACATGGGGTGCAGATCATGGACATGGTTAGAAATTATCATCCAAGGAGAAAAAGACAAATAAAACTACACTTGGTCCTCTGCCAGTGCCATTTAGCTTGGAACATATTTACAGACTCCATAATGGAGTCCACTATACTTTGGGAATATCCACTCAAAGAAAATTCTAGACTCAAAGATCAGTTCCAAGGTCTCCTCCAAAGTGACTCTGACTCGGGAACCTACCATTTCTAATTTCCTTAGTGATTTTTAACCTCAAAGAAGAAATGGCAATGCCAGTAGTGTATTGCATAAGATACCAAAGGATGGCAAAATGCTAAAAGATCTTACCCAAATTATTTATTCTAATCCTCCACTTCCTTTCTGGCAAAATGACTGAATTATGAATCCAAATATTATATCAGTAGGTTTCTATGGCATCCTCAGCCTGAGTCAGATGCCATAGACCTTTGATCTGAAATGATTCAAGCAGTGAGGTAAAAATGTGTAATATGCTATGTCAGAACAATCAGAAGCTTTTTATTTAACACAGAGGCTAGAGGCTAAGTAGATTTGCAGCTGTCAAAATGTCTTTCCTAATTCAGCGATATGGAGGAAAACATAAAAAGGAAGTAAAAGTGTTTTTTTTTTTTTTAAAAAAAAGTAATAAAATCTTCCAGGTCAGACAAATGTCTGCATCCATAATCTGAAAATATACCTAAATGACCCAATTTATTATCAAATTGTGATTTCTGTATATAACATTTTGGTAATTTTGAACCTAAGGAAAAACTTTTGCCTTGTGAATAATATGTGTAAAAACTATCAATACACAATTTGTAAGCTTTCCAACAGGAAGTCTAATAGAAGTTCAATAAGATATATTAGGAGCTCACCATTTTTTTTAATTACACGAGTCTGCTGCTTCCTTTGATCATTTGGAACACCAAAAACTTCTATAATCACTGACGTGTCAGCTTTGTTAGATGATGTGCTGCTAAGAGGCAACTGGATACCACTGATGAGCTGCACAAGTGCATATGCATACCAACGTTTAGCAGAATATTAAACTGCATTGCCACTTAATTTCAAAATAAAATCATGTATCACAAAAAAACTGATAAACTCTAAGTCAGTTCCCACAAAATAAACACCGAAGCTGGAAAATAATGCAAATTTTAAAATTTAAGTCTTTTATCCTCAAGTACCAGTTGATAAATACCAAGAATCTGTCCAAATCATTCCACTTTAAGGAAACGTGACTATAGTGGAATCCACAATGTCCAAGGTTTATGACTCAATAACATCTATTTTTATTTTAAAAGCATTTTGTTATGATTATCTTTTACTATCATTTAGGATGAGTTACTCTGATAATATGTACTATTTATAAATTCATATTATATATGATACAAAAAATTAAAAGCAATATGAATATTATTTTTAAATGTAAAAAAAAGCACCATATAACTTCTTATAATAGCATTTTCTGATGATAGGATTTATGTCTGAATACTTTATGAGATTTTGCATTATCCATTCTTACTTATATAATTAGGATAAGTAATCTGAATCTGACAAAATTCTTTGTCTCAAATGTACATAAGTTACTGGGTATCAAAAGAATGTTTAACAAAGTAATTAATAATAATTTTATTTAGCCTTTTATTAGCCAAACTAATTGTTGAGGCAAAAATTTGTTTTACTTTAAGAACTAAAATGAGCATTTAAAAAAAACTGTATGTGAGATGTACTAATTTATGGTAAGAAATGGAAGATACAAGCCTCAGTAAAAACTGAGGCATAATTTCAATTTTTGAAGATTATATAACCAGGAACAAATCAATAATTACATTTAGCAAAAATGAAGGAAGAAAGGGAAAGAGAAAAGGGGGAGAAAAGAAAAGTTGCTAATGTATAATTTTTCTTTTCCTAAACCTGCACATGATGACATTAGCTAGAAATCAGAGTGACTATGCAAATATTGAACCATGACTGTAGAATGGCGATCAGTCAACCAGCATAATTAAGCGTCCGAGTAATTAGAAAGAACATTGGCCATAAATACATAGTATACTAGTACCAAATACCAGTGCATACTAGCTAAATATCACTCTGCAGGTAACAGACTCTTCCCCAAAGCTTGGTACATCTCATTCCAAAAAAAACCATTGTCTAATTTTGAAAAACATAATTGAATATGAGAACTGGAAGAGAATTCAGGAAGTATTGGTCAAATGATTTGTAAACTGTAATTTACAAAGCCCACTGTGGAGGAAGGGATGTCAAACAAAAAGCCCTTAGTGGTCAACCAGAGTGGCTCTGCTTTCATTCATTGGCCTCAGGCATAAGATTTTGAATTTGAATCCAGAGGTAGTTTCATGGTAGTTTTTGTAAATTTGAAAATAACTGAGCTAGCCCAAAACACTCAGTTCAAAGATGACAAAGAATAAACCAGAAATGCTGACTGCCTTCATCAGGGACACAAGAAAGCTAATAGTAAAACTAGGCCTTCTGATTCCCAAGTCATGCTCTCCACATTTTGTGCAGGTCATAAAGTAACCACAAAGCTCCCTCAGATGATCCAAGCAAGAGAGAAAGGCCCACATGGCTACCTGGAAGAATAATTAGGCCTGCCTACTTCACTCCATGGCACCTACACCTCAACACAAGACGCCTCAGAACATGAAATGTGGCATTAGTGAGCTTTTGCACACACCAACTACCTTCCACCTTCACTTTCTCAGTAAAAATGCACATATGTTCTCTTAACCCTTCTCGATAGGAAAAAGAAATCATCCATGAAATCAACCTACAAGTATCAAGCATATACTTTTTCTCAGGCACTGTGAATAAAGGTTAAACAAAACACAGTTCTTACTCTTAAAGAATCCTCAGACAAGTGGGGGAGAAATACAAGTGACAAGCAAATAATTATAATGCAGTGTGATAATAGCCATAACATATTGTATGCCATAATATATGCATGCATAGGGTGTTATAGAAAAACAGAGAAAAATGACAAAAAGAAGCACAACTAACCTGGCCTAGGAAAATGGTTCCAAAAAGCAGTGATTCCTAAGTCTTGAAGAGTGAGGCAGAATGCAGGAGACAGGGGAAGGAGGGAAGAAGAATCCAGTCACAGGAAAGAGGATATGCAATTTATAGAGGAGAAGCATGGTCAGAGAAGGATCCTGGTTTCATATGGTCATAGACCAGGTGAAAGACTAGAAGGGGTGGGAGACAGGGCTACAGAAGTAGCCAAGGCCTGACTAGGAAAGCAATCAGGAAAACAAATATTAAGTAGGCATGATCAGACTGGTGGTGTAGCATACTCTCTGGTCAACTTGTGGAGGATGGATCAGAAGGACTCAGACAGACTGCCTGAAACCCTTAGTAAGCCAAAGGAACAGACTCGAATGCAGGTAGTAAATTTCTGAAACAAGGCAGCAGCAAAGTGAGACCAAGAGAATGGGTACAGAAGACATTTAGGAATAGAAACAGCAGAAATTAAAGACATTTGGGGCTGAGTGCGGTGGCTCATGCCTGTGATCCTAGCACTCCGGGAGGCCGAGGCAGGCAGATTGCTCAAGGTCAGGAGTTTGAAACCAGCCTGAGCAAGAGCAAGACCCCATCTCTACTAAAAATACAAAGAAATTAATTGGCCAACTAATATATATATAGAAAAAATTAGCTGGCATGGTGGCACACACCTGTAGTCCCATCCACTCAGGAGGCTGAGACAGGAGGATTGCTTGAGCCCAGGAGTTTGAGGTTGCTGTGAGCTAGGCTGATGCCATGGCACTCACTCTAGCCTGGGCAACAAAGTGAGACTCTTGTCTCAAGAAAAAAAAATAAAATAAAATAAAAATAAAGACATTTGGGATATGGGAAGTGAAGGAGATGTGGAAGATTAGGACGGCTTCCAATTTTCTAGTCTGAGTAACATGAGGGAAGGGGCCCTTCATTGAGAGTTAAATAACACAGTGGAAGTAGATTTGACTAGGAAGGCATATTCCAATTTTAATATTTCAAGTTTGACAGAAGGATGATTAAATAGGTAGGGATGCTAAGTAGACATAAAATATGTCTTTAGATTCCAAAAGTGAGTTTAAAGATTTGAACATTGTTGGTAGTTAAACCATGAATGTTTGTGTAATGGAATCTAAGGAGAATATTTAGTTTGAGACAAAGGTTAAGACAAAACTTTAGACAACATAAATATTTTAAGGCCAGGTATTGGAAGAGGAACCCACAAGTGAAAATTAGAAAGAATTACTCGATAAGTAGGGGAAAAAGGAAAAAACAAAAGCCCAAGGCAAAAAAAGGAAAATTGGGGGGGGGGGAAAAGAAAGGAATTTAAAAAGGGCCGAACTAACCCGTCCTTTCAACTAAACAAACAATAAAAAAATAAAAAAAAAAAAAAAAAAAAAGGATGCCAACATAACAATAACACTATAAAGTAAGCTCAGGGGTCAATACCACTCCAGATTGTAGAAACGGTGACAACTAATCAATTTTTGGCTGCATCCAGCACTGTAAGCAATTGCTGCCTGTCCACTATATGCTCCTACACTGAAGTCACAAAATCCTTAACAGCCTGTAAAAAAGTCAGCTCCATACTTCACTGTTAATTGCAATGGCCAGGATCATTTCGATCCCATTCGTCTTTGCTGAACTCTCTCTCTCCACATTAATTTCTGGGAACCAGCTCTCAAACCTCCCATCCTCAGCTGGTCTAACCTGTCTAGGGCCTGAAGTGGATGAGCGCGGTCTTCCAGATCGTGGGATGCCGTGACAGTGGCAGAAGGAGCCAAGCTAGGAAGAGTAGAGGAAGGTAGGTGCGTTCCTGGGCTCTGAACTCCAGGTAATTTGGAGCAGGAGGGTGTTGCCCAGCCAGCAGAGCTTCACTGCATGACATGAGACACAATCCACCCGGCCAGGGATCGCAACATAAACATTCACCAAACTTCCAGACTAGGATCTGAGATGGTTCATATGCTTCTAGAAGCAACTAGTTAATAGAAAGAGGGACCAAAGAGACCATATCCACAATATTTATTTGCAAACCACAAGTGCAGACACAGTCTGAAATAGGATTGCCCATAGTTAAGTGGAGAGAAAAAAGCAACTAGAGGTTTTTTAAGGCTCAGTGACATTTAAAAAAGGAAATAAACATAGCACTAAGATATAAAAGAATAAGAAAGGTTGTCCAAAAGTCTTTACTAATGGTAACAAATTATAGACAACTGCTTTTACTCTGAACAAAATTATACAGGATGTGATAAAACAAGAGATGAAAGGTGAACTAATAAGACAGGCGTGTGGGGGCAGCATGCTGGCTAGGATACAGACAGAAGCCAAAAGGAAATAATACGAGGGAAGTAGCAACTTGGGGAGGAGATGAAAAATGCAAGAGAAAAAGTCACATCCACGTTAAAATCGGTAAAGAATAAAATCAAATACAGACTTTGAATCATCGACATAGGGAACAAATGTTAAAAGCTCTCCCAAAATGTGGAAGAAAAAGGAACGTGATAAAGTTGACACACATTAGTAGACATGAAGGACAAACAAGGAGAACAGCATAGAGATACTTTTTAGGTCATCAAATAATATTCAGAGACATAAGGGGAAAATAAACATCCTGAACTACAAAAGCCTCATTCTGGAAATTAATGAAAAGAAAACAGCTTCTAGAATTTTCTGGTAAAATTTTTAAAGTTAAAGGAAGGAAAAGCAGCATGTCCACAGGGTGGTTAGGGGGCTGAACTCAGACCTCTCTATCATAACATTAAATTGAATAATATAAATAGAACTTTGAGAACAGATGGCTTTGGCCTCAATATTTCTATTCACAGGCAGATAAACATTCATATAAAAAGGCAACAGGAAGACATTTTCAGATAAGGAAGGATACTGAAATACCACCCACCTATAGTACCTAAAAGATTAACAGAATTCTAACAGTCATTAAAACAAATCAATGGAATTCAAAATATTAATTTACACTATCTAGTTTATATAATAACCAAAAAAATGTAAAAGAGAAAGTTTTTAATCTTACCCTTATTGTAAGTGTAGTTGGATCACTGTCTCTTAGTTTATTTGGGTTAAAGTTTGATTTAGCATCTCTTAGGAATTGTGGTTTCAAAACATAGCCAGAAGCACCATTATCCAAAAATTTGCCATTTTGTAGGTCCATAGGCAAACCAGGGGTCTGGAAATTTAAGGCCACTATGAGAAAGAAATATTTTGACATTGTCAGGAAATAGAGGTTATAGTTAAAGAAACACACTTAAGCGATTCTAATTATAGATTGTGTATCTTCAAATGTTCTGTGAACAAGCATGATTAGCCTAATAATTCATGATTTTTAAACATTTTCAATCCTGCCATGTCCATATTAATGTGTTTCGGTGAGTTGCATAGTTTAATCTGCAAGTTAAATTATTATATATAGCTTTGAGTAAAGAAATCAAAATTACACCTGGTATAGATTACAGAATAGCAAAGTACATGTCAAGGAACATTCAAGAAATATGAGAATAAGGAAAATCAATACATTAAATGCTAGACGTGAAGACATCAACTATGTCATAAACTTTCAGGTCCAAGAGGTACTGTTATCACTTGGAGAGAAAGTGAGACACAGGTAGAGAGATTGATAATCATTGTTAAAATATAAAAATACTTTGATATAGGCCGGTAAATAGCCACTGTAGACAGTTCTTCCCTCCACCTCCCCATTGGCCCAATTCTTCCCCTCTCCTCAAACATATGGGCCTTGCCACAATCCAGTAGGAGAAGGTTTAACACTAGACACTTTCTGACTTTCTGACTGGCCAGTGCTGTACCAGCTGTGCAATTTGGGATAAAGAGAGTGTGGGGAGAGCAATCCCATTCACTTTTCAAGACTATGAACGTAGAAGTATAAATGATATAAATCACATGATCAGAAGAGGCCTTGAGTATATTGTTCAAGTGAAGGAACTTGATCTTCAACATCCTCTGAGATCCATTTTGAATTTCTTATTCCCTTGTTCTACCATACATGTTTCATGCTCATGCCTCATGAATTTAATACCCATCCACCAACCCTCACCTACATTTACCCTCTGCAACCCATTTAGGAATGATTTCAACTCCTGAAATCTATGATTCACCATTAGTGCCTGACCCCAAAGCCCCCAGGGTCAAAAATCTTCATAGGAAGCTTTTTTCATGAATGTTTCACAGATTCATAAAATGAATTCATTTTACATGACTTTTATAAACACCTCAGCATCCTATATAACATACCCATTTGACAACCTATATTCCAAAATTCTTGAGGATTAAAATTAGAAGAGTCTGCTCTTGTTGCTTTGGGATATATTCTGGTAAGGAACTTCTTGGTGTGAAAAATAAACTCTTGGACTGAAAAAAAAGATTATTAAACCACTGTGAAAATTTTCAAGTAAATTACATAAGCTACTATATTATATGTAATAATATATGTAATTATATATATCTAATTATATGTAATATAATATAATTTATTTTCAAGTAAATTACATAAGCTATTATATTATATGTAATATAATATAATTATACAATAATTTCAATAATTTTGATACATATTATCTTGGCAAAAATATTTTCAATTCATGAAAATCAAAATAAATCCATGCCTTTACATTTCCACTATGATTCATTATTATTGAGATATTAATAATAATTTTGTTATACAATTTGTATACACTGATTATTTAAGGGGAAAAAAGATAATTTACATTTATTTTTTTCACATCAAATTAATTTCACTTTGATGTAAGAATATATAAAATTCTAAAATAAAATACATTTATTTTTTAAAACAAAAGTAATAACTTTCCCCATTTTTTTTTACTTTGATTTTCACATTAGGACGGAATCACATATAAGTCATAATAAGCTTTCTGATTCCAGCTAAATTAATCCTGTTGAACGTTTCAAATTCTCAGGATTAAAAGGAAAACTAAAGTTATCTGATTCAACACCCAACCCCTCCATTCCAGCATCTTACCCCCAAATTCATTCAATCTCTGTTTACATCTCTCCACTGAAAAATCACTACCTCCCAATACTTTTAATAATGTCTAATGTCTTCCTTACTAAGATATTATCTATGTAATTGTAGTATATATACATGCACGTACAAACACACACAACTCACACTATTTGAGTTTCTATATATATTCTTTATGATTCTTCTTACCTATATTCTAGTTAAATCACTCAAAATTCAAAACTAATTTACATCTTTTACCATTTGACACCCCTGCAAATTTTAAACACGTATTTCATCTTTCTCTAAGGTTTTTCTTCTTTCTCTAAACAGTTCCTGTTCCTACAACCATCCCAGTCATGGAAGAAACAGTGATTGCCCATGGCCCACTATATTTGCAAATCAAACTAGAATAGAATCATTTCCTCCATCACCCTAAATATTATTCGTTAGGCAGCACTGTCAAGTTAAAAATTATAGTTAATTTTATCAATAACTATTTTTTAAAGTAAAACACTCCTTGAGAGAAAGTTTATTTTGAAGCCACCCATGTATAAACACCCAGGGGTGTCCAAGTACCATGCTCCCTTACCTAGTCCTAAGGGATGTCTGTCCTTAGGCAAAACATATTCTCCTAGGTCTTAATGTTTCCCATCTACAAAGTAATAAACGTGAATGATTGCTAAAGTTGCATAACATAATATGATTTTGTTACTTCTGAGACTGACCTTTAGGTATTAAACATGCTTTGTTATTACAAATGAGGTTCATGTTCATTTTAGAAATAGGAGGAAGTCACATAAGAAAAAAAGAAGAAATAAAACCACATATAATCTTAGCACTCAATGAATAATCACTGGTAACTCCTTGGTATTTATCTTTCTATTCTTTTGTGTATATATATGTTAATTTTTTAATTGAAAACTATGGTTATTCCCTTTTATAAACTGCCATCTTTTACTTACTAAAATAATGTGAAAATTATTCCATTTCAATAATATTTATCTAAAACATTTTTAGTGGTGTTTATTATGTTTATTATAGTGATCCTTGCAGTTAATCCTTTGACAACATCATTGATTATTTACTATTCACTTTTAGTGCAAGAAAAATGTTCAGTACCCTTTCTAAGAGACAGTGATGCTATACTTTGAACTCTACTCAGATCTAATCCCCTTTGAAATTTTTGCAAGTATTTAATATGATGAGAGTAAGAGAATTATAATTTTGCTGTGTCCACAGGTCCTATCCCCATCAACAACAAAAACCATGCAATAGTTTGAAGGGACAGAGGCCAGTATAAAAGGCCATACAAACTCTCTTGACCACAGTTTACATTGCAGCCTAACACACATACGACATGCACGATTGTTTCATAAAACAGTACTTATTCTTACTGCCTACAATACACTCTTCTATATTCTATTCTATTCCATTCTATTCCATTTTATTCTATTCTACACTACTCTATCCTATTCTATTATTTAACCATAGTCCAGACCTATTGAATTGATTTTTGTTTACAACGCACAGTTTAAAACAAAAGGACATTAAAATATCCAGGGTCTCTCTAGTAGGTAATTAGAAGGTATGAACTAAAGTATACTTCAAAATACTTCAAAATCCTTGGATGCCAGTGGCAAGCCCAATGAGGTTAACCATTAAATATACCAGAATCTGCATTTCCAAATAGCCAATGGCTTTTCTCAAGTCAATTGCAGGTGCTGATTTTCTCACTGCAATGTCTCCATACAAAATGATAAATTGCAACTTTTGAGATGGAGAGTCACCTGGGTATTAAGTTAGTTGCCCATTCCTTTTTAAGTTTGGAACATTCCAAACCACATGAGTCTGAGAAAGGGGTAGGGTCTGCTTTCCATTCTCTTTCCCAGGCCTTGGGTACTGCCAAATAGAAGAATCACCTCCTATTTAGAATCAGAGGCAGCTGAAAGAAGATGCAGGAAAAGATGGAGCTTCTAGAGGTGTGTAGCCCAAGTGCACACTGCACTGCCACCTGGTAGTCCCGCCTGGATGCTATTTCCTCCCTCTCCTTCACCTTAGACATACAGTCTCCAAACCTAATTAACTCTACTTTTTAGATACCTATTGAATCCATAAAAATCACCCTGTCTCCATTCTCATGGCCATAAACCTTCATCACCTCCTTTCTGCCTAAAGTGTCATCTTTTTTCGCTATTAGAGGCATCTTTCAGAAACACAGTGGGGCATGCCACTCCTGAGATTTCAGCCTTCTCCTGCTCACCCTTGTTCCCAGGACAGAGTTCAAGTGCCTTGACACTTGGGTCTGCCTAGCTCCTCAGGGCTACTGCTGCTCTCCCATGCAAACTGCTCACCACAGCCTCCCCTATAATATGTGGGGGACCCCAGGAAGTGTCCCATGTCATGGTCACAGGCCTGGCAACCTACGTCCTATGACAACACCCACTTCACAGCTGAAGAGACAGAAGCACAGCGGGCTCAGTAGCCTACTCGTGACCTCAAGAAGTGGCAGAGCCAAGATTTAAACCCAGAACAGTGTGACCCCAGAATCCAGGCTGTCAACCCCACCCTAGACCCCTGTCCCGAGGCACCAGTGGACACCCGCACTGGACATTCTCAATCAAAACATCAACACAAAAAAGTGACTTAATGGCTAAGTTCTGTGAAATGAAACTTAATGTAGCCTAAGGCATACATTAATAACGCCTTTCTAAATTATATGAAATATGTTGAAATCTTGTGAAAATATATACTTTACAAATACCATTGATTGACCTTAACACTGTAGCAGTGAATGTAACTTCTCTGAACACCTTAACTGTTTGAATCATAAGAATTTACCTTTCAACTTTGAAAGTTTTCGGGCTCTTGTCTCCCCAATAGAATTATTTTCATTAAATTGCTGATACATTCTTGAATGTTGAAAGCTTCTGAACTTCTCAGCTTTAGTATAAATGACAAGATCAGATAAGGCCAGAGCAATTTTTAGCTTCCTGGTCTAAAAATAAAATGCAGTAATTTCACATTTTTACACTAATCATTTGAAAAAAAAAATCCTTTTCCAATAAAGAAAATATGGTTTCAAATAGATTATTTTAGTTTTTTCATAAGATTATCTCCTCAATAGCTATTTGGATTAAGCCAAGTGATTATTTTTTACAACTAAAATATTTCATGTTACTATGAGCTGACCTAAATTTAACATCCCAGTTAATGTAGTAAGTATTGAGGATGATAATTACTATTAATGCTATTTCCCTTTTCACAAAGATCTCAGTTTATTCTTATAAATTTTACAAATTTAGAAATTTTAGTCATGAATATTTCCAGTTTGGTCTACCATTTTGGAATAACTTTGAGTATATCGTGGACATTTGCTCTTTTATAGCCCAGCATCTATTTCTTCTGCCCTTCTGTTAGCTACTTTCTAGTTTGGTTTTGGGAAAATATTCCTTGCCCACGCCCAATCCAAGTATGGATCGCACAGATTGGGCCTGGCTAATAAGAGCTTTGCATTTCTCTAGCAACAGTAATGGGTTCAGGGATGCACACATAACCAGATCATAACCAATGTACCAAAAAAAAAAAAAAAAAATTGCTTGCTCTGCTACGACACAGGCATTCCACTGCATTTGAACCTGAAAGAATATAAAGCTGATTTTTTGCAATAGTCTTGCACCAATGAAGAGAAAGCGGGGACAAAGCTTGAGGAAAAAACAAAGTTCTGTTGGCCTGGCTTAAGACACCACGTCAAGTCATTCCTGACATTAAAATTCCTTTGACTGAATTGTTCATCTATGTGGGTGAAAAAATTAATCCCCACTTTATTTGAACTAATTGCATTGGTTTTATGTCACATGCAAGCTAAAACACCTTCTTTTGTCGTGCTAATGTGTATTCTTCTAATACTATATATTATAAACATTGATTTTCTTGTCTCTGTCTCTACTTGAGGGAAGAGAAATTATGTTGTTTATCTCTGTATCTTTTGTACTTTGTACAATGCCTAGTACATAGCAGTGTATATTATCTGTCGACTATAAAGAAAAACATTTAAAAACAGCTAATGCTCTTTTTAAGAGGCAGCTTTGAACTTTTCTTTCTAACCGTTAATTTTTTCAAAGTAAATTTTAAATGATAGACTAGAGTTTTTATAAGAAAGAAAAAGACTTTTCTCTCCAGAAATTTTAAAATTCTCCACCAATTAAAAAAAAAAACTTTTCAATCACTTATAAGATTTTCACAAAGCATCATCTCACCTTCTTTTTCTTGAAAAGCATTGATGAAATTGCCTTTCTTCTGACTGTTTCCTTATCTTGATTGTCTTTTAATGACAAACTATCAGATGAGTCTTTAAATTCATCCTCCTCTTCCTCCTCTATATCGTCCGGTTCTTCCCATTCCTCCACCTTACCATGCTTATCAGAACCTTTCCTTTCACGGGTTTCCTTTAAGGTTCCTATTTTCTTATTTTTAACTAATATTTTGAATTTTAGTGCCTAGGGAAACAATTTGAAAGAGAGATACTGTTACACATTTACAGGTAAGTTTGCTTCGTAACACTCATTGGAAAGTGGTTCATCATATTTTTAATTAGCCCAAAGTAGTAAGGTATGTAAGAGCCATAAATTTTGCCAGTCACCTGGATTTTTCCTTACCCTTATTCATACCTCAATAGAAAACAGTGATGTTAAGGTATTGACCATAATTCACAAAAAAATAAGCCTGTTATGATTGGAACTTATTGTATGCTAGCTCTTTTTATATTCCACAAATTGGTACTATTCCAAAATAGTTAAAGGTGTGAAAAAGATATATGTGTTAAAATTCTTGCCATGTTACAGAAGTTAAAATGTTACAACTGCTGATAGTAAATGCTTCATATCATCATTCTCTTATCCAACATTAAACATATATATGTTTTATATATAGAACGTATATGTGTTATATATATAAAACATATATATATAACACATATACGATATATATATATTAAATGAGATCAGGTATATAACAATGTCTATCGTAGTGTCTAGCATCTAGTATAGACTCAATTAAAGATTTGCAAGGCCTCTTCAAATTCCACCTGTATTGCACACAAGCATCATTGGCTTAATATTTCCTGTCTATCAAAGCCAGAAGCATGGCACTATTTACCACAAGTGTCACTAGTTCTAAATCCAAAGCCTCTGGTTCCAATCTTTCACTTAGTTACTCCTGACCTTTTCAAACTTTCATTAGTTTAACAAACACATTTAAAAGTGTCTGCTTTGTTCTATTCAATGCTGAAATCTGGGTTATGAAGTAAAATTCTTTTCTCCAAGGAGCTTTTTGATCGCCCCTTCCCTTCTGCCATTCTCGGGTATCAGCGCAAATCACTTGATCAGCTGGGGTCGTCTCTGTCTGACTATGATCCTTGTAATGCTATGGAATAGGAAGTTTACCAAAGTGCACTCTGCAACCACGTGCAATAAGAGTATTATCAGGAGTGCTTGTGAACGGGACAAATGCCTAGGATCTACTTCAAAATTAGAGAATCTTGAATTGTGGAGCTGGAATTAGGCTTCCTTTAACAAGTCTCCAGGCAATTCTTTTACACACCGAAGACTGAACGTTGTAAGCAAGAGTGATTTTCGCTCTAATTCCTCATTTATTTGTAGGAAAGAATCTCTTCATTTTAGCTTATGGAAGCTAAAACTTTAATGAAAGCTATGTATTAGAATGCTAAAACATAGATTTATATATAATGGGAGAAGAGATTCTCTTACTAGAAAGCTAAAAATTATTATAATTTCCAGAATTAGACCAGGACTGCTAGGTTTAATCTTTAATGATATGTTTGCAGCATTTTGCGCGAAGTTCTTTAACATTTCTCTTCTGTCACATTTGAACGCATTTAGTCAGTGAGCATTCTTACGAGGTGAAAGAGTCATGGTTTTTCCATTTACCAAACAACTCATTTTTTTCTGCTTCAGTTCTATCGTGAGCCCTATATATCTTGTCACTAGTGTCACAACACTTACATTTTTAAATTTTCCACTCATTTAAATATAGTAAGGAAAAACTATAAAGGGAAATATTCAAATAGTACAAAAATATTGCTATTCCTATCAAAAATGAAGATGTGTCAAAACTAAACTATTGGTTGTTAGATGATGCTACTGCAAAAAAAAAAAAAAAAAATTCATTTATCACCTGATAAAATCTGGGGTAAGGAGAACGGGAAAGTCAAAGACACTAAGGAGTTGCCAGAGAGGAGGAACAAGGAAAGCCTAGAGAACGTGGTGTTACAGAAGAAAGTGTTTCCAGGGGAAGGAAGGAGGGGTTCGAGGCGTTGAGTATCAGTTAGAGCACAGTCAGATGAGGACTGAAATAGGTCCACTAGAATTTATCAGTAAGAAAGGCTTTGCTGACCTTACGATGAGAAACTTACTGTGGAGCAGGTGGAAGAGGAAGACAGACTGGGTAGTTTGCAATGAGATGAAGACGTGGGAAATTGGGCTGTGAGAGGGCATGAGTGATAAAGTAAAGAGACAGCCCGAGAGAGAAGTGACATGCTGACGGCAGAGGTAGGGACGCACAAATCAAATACTTGAGTTGCTCATGTGGAGGTGGGAAGGGGTCTTAGAGACAGGGAAATTGAAAAGAGCAGCTCTCTAAAAGGGGAACCTGCTACCCAGCTGCTGAGATATGGGTACAGACTCCATTTTTAGCCTAAAACTTTTGTCCCTTTCTTAGCCTTTTGCAGATAAAACACACCAAATGCCTAGGGCCTAATACCAAATTGCCTTCCAGTCGTGAACCCATGAGCTACGGCACACAATCAACATGTGGGTTTTACGTTGATCTCTATATATTGTCTTTATCAAACTGCATTCACCTGACGCTCACGGGAACATTTTCTAGGCAATACATTGGAAAGATACACAACTATAAATAAAACTGAGCATTTTCTCTGGTCTCTAACACACTTTCATGGGCCAGTATAACGGTGACATGTTTTGGTGTTCTGTTTCGTTTTGTTCTGTTTTTCTTAACATGAGCTTCTCAGACAAAATGTTACCTCTGGGGAAGGTAGTTTGTCCGGATAATCATCAAGAATATCAGCAAGCAGAGACTCTCCAAAAATAGTCTGCAAATTGTCTGCCATCACTTCTTGTTGGGAAGGGGAGCAGTGATTTTCTAAAGAGAGCACCACTGGGTAGTCAGATGTCTAAAAAATTAACCATTACTATGGTTATTAATCAGAAATTTTTAAATAACTTTAATGCAATTAATACAAGCACTTAATTTCAAACCTGATTCTAATGTTCAGTACCTTCGAAAAATAATTAAGTATTCTTTAAACTGAATGTACTTTTGAGTTTTTGACAGAACAGGGACCATTAAATATGTATAAAAAGAAAAATTATTACTATTTGTACCAAAAGTATAGGAAATAGCTGAATAGTATAGGAAATATAGGATCATCCATCAGTGGGTACTTTTTAAATAAATTGTACCGTATCTGTGTAAAGCTATGATAAAGGTACCATAGAAGATAGGCTATAATTTGCTATAGAAGTTATCTATAGTTCTAATAGTAATGACAATGTTGTCTAACAGTAACCTTCTATATTTTTATTTTTAAATGTGTAGATATTTGAGTATGTGAAAGAAAAACCTATCAACACTGGTCAGTTGAGGGAAATGGTATTTTTCATCTTTTTCAGTTTTAAGTTCTATAATCAAACCACATTGCTTTAGAATTAGAAACGAAGGTAAAGATATTTCCAGTTTTTAGAATAAAGGGGATCTATTAAGTGAAGGTGGCTCTAAAGAGGGATTTTCTGTCCTTTTGCACCACTGTGAATGCCAATTTTCGCAGTGGAAAGAAAAGACAGTTTTGATCGATTCAAAATTTACCGTGTTGTTCATTCACAATATCATTTTATCGACATCAGATTTATCAACTCATAAACAAGCCAGAGGATCACAGGCTTGCAGCGTCACCACAGCCCCGAACAGACATTAGATATATCTCTTTTTATGTTTAGTCTATCCTTCCGTTTCTGTGCTGTGTGACAAATCTGCAAACCTTGAGTCTTAAAACAAGAAATTTATTCTCTCACAGTTCTGCTAGTTGACAAAATTTAAATTGCTTTTACTGCTGAAATCAAAGCTGTGGACTGCAAACTAGTGCGAGCCTCCTGTGGAAAGCAATATGGACGATACTAAAGAAGACCTCAAAAGCACAGTAGGACTACCATTTGATCCAGTGATCCCCTAACTGGGCATCTACCCAAAAGAACAAAAGACATTCTATAAAAAGAAGAACTGCACTCAAATGTTATTAGCAGCACAATTCACAATTGCAAGACATCAACTCAAGTGACCACAACAAGACGTTAGTGGATTATAAAATATGGTATATGTATACTATCAGCTATAAAAACAATGGGATATAGCACCTCTTGTATTTTCCTGATAGAGCTGGAACCCATACTACTAAGTGAATCCCAATGGAAAAACAAGCACCACATGTACTCATCAGCAAATGGTTTCACCGATCAACACTAAGTGGACATATAGGAGTAAAATAGGCATTGGCAGATGGGAGGGGAAGGGGATGGGTATATACATATAAGATGAGTGTGATGCGTACCATCTGGGGGATGGACATACTTGAAGCTCTGACTCCAGCGCGGGAGGTGAGGGAAGGCAACACACGTAACCTAAACATTTGTACCCCCATAATATGCTGAAATTAAAAAAAATTATAAAATAAATTTTAAAAAAAAAGATGTTGGACAGGCTGTGCCCACTCAGGAAGCTCTAGGGGAGAATCTGTTCCATGCCTCCCCAGCATTTGGTGGCTGCTGACATTTCTTGGTTTATGTCCACATCACTCTCGTCTGTGTCCCCATCTTCAAGTTACCTCCTCCTCTAGTGTGTCAAATCTCTCTTTACCCCCTCCTTATGGAATTTATATGATAGCATTTAAGGCCCACGCAGATGGTCCAGAATAACCTCCCCAACTAGAGATCTTTAACATCATCACATCTGCAAAGACTCTTTGTTCAAATGAAGCAACATTTACAAGATCTAGGAAAAGAATCTAATATCTTTGGGGGCCCTTATTAAGCCTATGACAACAACCTTCTCAATTATACACTCTATTAAGTATGTCTATTGACTCACTCTAACATCAACAGCATGGTGTAAAATTTTTCCCAAATATAATAAGTGATGTTGAGACTGGGCACAGTGAAGGCTTAGCAGGTGGATTCCTCCATGAAGCCCTGACTTCACTGATGGGGCAGAGTCCATTTTTTATCTACTGTGTCCTTGGCCTTGTCCTCTGGAAAAATACTCTTGTCTTTCTTTTATCCTCCTTTGCCACATCTAAAGTGGATGTTCAGGAGTTTGTTCTCCTTAAAGCCAAGCAATGTTTGTAGCCCACTTCCTGTCCAAAGGTTGTTTTAAAGATTACCTAAGAGTCAGACTTGGTTTTTTGGGTGTTTTTTTTTCTTGGCAGTATAATTTCCACAAAAACTTAGATTTCATGTATATTTATTCTAGTAAACTATAGGCACCAGTAACTAGAACCAATGTTCATTCCTAGTCATAGCTATCAAGTCTATTTAATTTCACTTCCTCTCTTTCCCAAATTACTAGTGACTATCTTGAGTAGGAAATCCAAACTTCAGTCTGATTTATGATGCAAAACTGAGTCACCTTGTTCCACCGAGAAATCTCATGGAGTTTTTGTTGCTCAAAGCCTTGTTTTAAATCTGATCTCTTTCTCTTTGGTTTATAAAATAAACATTATTATATATATTTAAGGCATACAACATGATGTTATGAATACATATAGATAGTGAGAAGGTTACTATAGTGAAGAAAATTAACATATCATTTATCTCACATAGTTACCCTTTTTTTTAAACATGCAAATAGCTCAAACTCTTTACTAAGGAATTAAATCATTAGTGAATTTTGATTTAACCTAATTCAATTATTTCTCTCCTTTTTTGGTAGTTTTATCTCTCACTTTAATTATAAATTTCTCTTGGGGGGCTTTTTCATTTCAAATATTAATTAGGGCATACAAGTGTTTTTGTTACATCAATGTCTTGTAGAATGCTTAAGTCAAGGCTTTCAGCATGTCCATCATTGGAATAGTGTTCATCATACCCAATAGGTAAGTTTTTATCCCACATTCACCCTCCTGCCCTCCCCCCTTCTTGGTTTGTCATGTCCTTTATACCACTTTCTGCCTATGTGTACTCATCTATAAGCTCCCACTTATTTGTGAGATACATGGTATTTGGTTTTCCATTTCCTGAGATACTTTACCTAGGATAATGGTCTCCCATTCACTCCATGTTGCTGCAAATGACATTATTTCATTCCTTTTTATGGCTTTACAGCTGAGTAGTACTCTGTGTTATATATATATATATATGTGTGTGTGTGTGTGTGTGTGTATTATATATATGTAATGTGTGTGTCTGTCTGTCTATATATATATATAAACTATATTTTATTTTTGTTTTTTTTTTGAGACAGAGTCTCACTCTGTTGCCCAGGCTAGAGTGCCATGGCATCAGCCTAGCTCACAGCAACCTCAAACTCCTGGGCTCAAGCAATCCTCCTGCTTCAGCCTCCCAAGTAGCTGAGTCTACAGCCATGTGCCAACATGCCTGGCTAATTTTTTCTATATATTTTTTAGTTGTCCAGCTAATTTCTTTCTGTTTTTAGTAGAGAGGGGATCTCGCTCTTGCTGGTCTCAAACTCCTAACCTTGAGCCTCGGCCTCCCAGAGTGTCCATGTTATATATGAGCAACATTTTCTTTATCTACTCATGAATTGAGGGACACTTAGGTTGATTCTACATCTTTGATTTATCTACTTTTTTTGTTTGCTTTTGTGGCCAAAGTAGCTAAAGTCTCCTCATTTAGCATAAATCCCATATAACAGTCCAATTTTATTACCTATAGTCCTTACCTTGTATATTTAGCTCTCTAGACTTGTTCATCCTACTTATCTGATATCTTGCATCCTCTGACATGTGTTTCCCCATTTTATCCCCCATCCTGACCCTAGTTAGCACTGTCTTGTTCTCTTGGGATATTTGAATATTTTTTTAGATTCCACATATATATGGTTTGCAACTATTTTTTCCCAATTGTATGCTGCTCTTTCATTCAGTTGATTGTTTCCTTTGTTGTGCAAAAGCTTTTTAGTTTGGCGTAGTACCATTTATTTATTTTTGCTTTTGTAGCCTGAGCTTTTGGTATGATATCTAAAAAAAAAAATCATTGCAAAGGCCGATGTCCAGGGGCTTTTTCCCTGTGTTATCTTCTAGCAGTTTTATTGTTTCTGGTCTTATATTTAGGTCTTTTATTTATTTTGGGTTTATTTTTGTGAATGATGTAAGATAAGGGTCCAATTTCCTTCTTTTGTATGTTGAAATCCAGTTTTCTTAGCGCCTTTTATTGAAAAGACTACCCCTCTCCCATTGTAATCTCTTAGGGTTCTTGTTGGAAACTAGTTGATCATACATATTTGGGTTTATCTCTGGGCTTTCTTATTCTGTTCCACTGGTCTATGTGTCTGTTTTTATATCAGTAACATACTGTTTTAATTACCAAAGCTATGTGATATAATTTTAAATAAGTAAGTATAATGCCTTCAACTTTGTTTTTCTTTCTCAGAATTGTTTTGGCCATTTGACGTCTTTCATGGCTCCATACAAATTTTAGATTTTTTTCTAATTCTGTGAATAATGTCATTGGGATTTTGATAGGGATTGCATTGAATCTATATATTGCTTTGGGTAGTATGGACATTTTAACAATATTAAATCTTCCAATCTTCGAACATGGGATATCTTTCCATGTATTTGTGTCTTCATCAATTTCTTTCATCAAAGTTTTACAGTTGTCAGTATACAGATCTTTCACCTCCTTCATTAAATTTATTCCTGGGTATTTTTTATTCTATCATAAATGGGATTGCTCTCTTGATTTCTTTTTCGGTTAAGTCATTATTTGTGTACAAAAATGTTGATTTTCGTACGTTAATTTTGTATTCTGTAATTTTACTGAATCCATCAGTTAGTTCTAACAGTTTGTTTTTCTTTTTTGCAGAATCTTTGGGGTTTCTTACATATAGGATCATGTCATTTGCAGATGGAAATAATTTTAATTCTTCCCATTCCCTTTTTATCTCTTTTTCTTATCTAATTGTTCATCTCTTGCTTATTGGAGTCTTAGAAGCTGCAGACCTTTCTACCCTTGTAAGGCCTTTAAATTCTAAGACTACCTCTATCTCCTTTTATTTCTACAGCTACCCACCCTAAATTAAGTGAGGAAGTTAGCTATGCAGATATTTGGGAAGACTATTTCATATAAAGGAAATAACAAGTGCAAAGGCTTTGAGATGTGCTTCAGAAAAACTGTAGAGGCCAGAATGGCCAAGTGAGCAGGGATTAGCAGGAGCATGCAGAGAGGTAAGAGAAAACCCATCACATAGGGCCCTGGGAGTCATTATATAGATTCTAGCTTTTAGTTTGAGTGAGTTTGAAGTCTTTGAGAGGAGGAATGGCATGATCTGACTCACTGAAAAGTCACTCTGGCTGATATGTTGAGATAGGACTGCAGGAAAGTAAGGAGAGAAGCAGGAACACCAAGGAAGAGCCCATTGTGATAGTCTAAGTGAGAGGCGATGGTGGTTGACTAGGACAATGACAGTAAGAATGGGAAGTAGAAATTAAATTCAGGATATATTTGCACGTAGAGCCAAGATGATTTGCTGAAGAATTGATTGAAAGGTTTGAAAGCAGGGGAGGTGGGTTGAAGTGGACAGCGATGCTTTTGGCTTAAGTATATGGAAGTTGCCATTAACTGACCTGGGAAAGACCATGAGAAGAGCAGGACTGAGAGAAAGAGGAAATTTTCAACATGTGAAGTTAAATATGCCTATTGATATCCAAGTGGCAATGTCAAATAGGTAGTTGTATATATTGATGTAACGTTCAAGGGAGAAGTTGAAGTAGAGATATAAACGTTAAAAAAAAATCATCATCTAAGAAACAACGGTGATATAGCACATCTTATATTTTCCTGGTTAGAGCTGGAACCCATCTACTAAGTGAAGTATCCCAAGAATGGAAAAACAAGCACCACATATACTCACCAGCAAACTGGTATTAACTGAGTAGCACCTAAGTGGACACATAGGTACTACAGTAATAGGGTATTGGGCAGGTGGGAGGGGGGGCGGGTATATACATACATAATGAGTGAGATGTGCACCATCTGGGGGATGGTCATGCTGGAAACTCAGACTTGTGGGGGGAGGGGGGAAAAGGGCATTTATTGAAACCTTAAAATGTGTACCCCTATAATATGCTGAAATTTAAAAAATAAATAAACAAAAAAATTTAAAAAATCATCAGAAATGAGATGTTTAAGATGTTTAAGATACTATCAAGATTTTTATATTATGATAGAAATTGTTCATATCTGACATTTATTTCTTGGGAACATTTATTTTGTACTTTTAAAATATATAATAGAATAATTGAGATAAATTTGTGATGTTAAGTTTATGTTTACAGACTTATAAGGTATTGACATAGGAGAACTTTAAGTTTATTAAATTCATAAGTTTAATGTATTAGGTTCATGTGAAGTACTTAGTAAGATTTTGTTAAATCACTTTGAATGTATTATAAATGACTGAAATTGGTACAGAAACAAGTATATTAACACAACAATTACAAATGTTTACAAAAACAGTTTCAAATGTCTGATGGTATATAATTAACCATATTTACAAATAGGACCAAGTTTTATTCAAACTCCCTTAAAACTGAAGGATTATTAAAAACCTGCTCAATTTATAGAGTAGGATTTGTAAGCTGAAATTAGTTCTAAAAAGAACTGTATCTTGGAATGTGTAACTTTAGTAAATTGAATAATAAATTTAAAATCCAAATAATAAATTTAAAATCCAAAGTAAACTTCTGAACATCTCTTGCTATATAAATAGCTGCCATTATCGTTATTAAAATGACAATTGAGATAATGTATTATTGACACATTTTGGTTTTGTCTTAGATGTAAAATAGTTGAATACTGGTAAAATATTTACTATTATTTAGACCAATATTTCTGAAACTTTCTTGGTCATCTCCCACAATGAGAAATATATTTTGTGAACCATTGTGAATCAATATACATACATGCATGTGCACACACATGTTGCATGTATGCACACACACACGAGCAAACAAAAAGTTTCATGAAATAACATGTACCTTACTACCTGAGATTAACTTCAATAAATTTACTTTTAACCATACACAGTGAAATCCATTTATGGATTCATAATCCATAAATGGATTAGTAGGCAGTGAAATCCATAAATGGATTTCACTGCCTACTAATGGGTCATAACCCACAATTTAAAACAGCACTGACCTAAACTAAGACCAACTATTATAAAATTTTGAAGCAAGTAAATTATGATTGATTCTGTTTCAATAACTTCGGTTTAACAAAGATATGTACGTACCATGAATGCATATTTGTGTATTGCTTGGACAACAGTTTTAAACAGAAGCTTGCTGGTCAGCGTGTAGCCGTGGTATACAACAGGCTCATTTTGTGCTCCATCCCAGCAGTCAATTTCCAGACAACGGCATCCTTTCACAAGCGCACTAACAAAGTTTTAAGCAAAATAAATTGTCACTCCCAGACCACTAAAAATATATACTACAGTGTCAAAATATTCCAAAGACTAGTTGTAATTTTGCAACAAATGCATAAATGAATCCATAATAAAGTCAAGGTTTGAGTCTCTAGAAATTTCTATTATAAAGGAAGAGACAAGCTACCTGTGAGGCACAACAGTTTGTGCTTCCTCCTAGTCAAATGCTATACTCTTTATGGCTGTCCATTCCAGGCCTGATTTCCAATAAGCAAAGAAGATGCCTGCCTCCACAGTTGTACCTCTGAAACATCACCACTCCCAACTCAGACAATATTGCTTATGGTTGTATCTACTGAAAAATGCAATAGTATTGAAAAGCAATAACTTCCAAAGCCTTCTCAGAATAATAAAATGTATTAATAATTTTTTTTTTTTGGTTTCTTTTCTTATATGAGGTTTTGGGGAATTGGAGTATATGGTGGAAAGGGAAGGGGGAAAAAGAGAAATCATGGCAATACTTGCTCCCTGGACACAATATGGGCTGGAGAGGATGGGAACTAGAGGGCCTTATGGCTCAGTAACAACCTTTATTTCCTTAACCATTTTATAAAAGGCCATCTCTATTCCAAGTAAGAGCTAGAAAAAAGTAATACTTATGCAAAGGAAGCCTGAAAACCTGCTAATCTATGTCTATTTGTCTCAGAATTCCAGTGGGAGAAAAGTTTTTTCTATTTTCATAGATTTAGGGTGTACACGTGCAGTTTTGTTATATGGATGTAATGTGTGTAGTCTGGGTTTTCAGTGTCTATACCACCCAAACAGCGTACATTGCACCCAATAGGTAATTTTTCATCCCTCAACCCCTACCCAGCCTCCCACATTTTGGAGTCTTGACATCTATTATTCCACTCTGTACCGCCAGGTGCACCCATTGCTTAGCTGCCACTTGTAAGTGAAAACACGGGGTACTTCATTTTCTATTCCTGAGTTACTTCACTTAGGATAACAGCCTCCAGTTATCACTGGGAGAAAAGTTTGAACTGACTACCTCAGACTACATCAAATTCACAGCTTTATCAAAATATATTTCCACTTCCACTAATATCTAAAACTGGACTTGATTATTTTTTCCACTTAACAAACAAATGTCCATTTCTTAACCTAGACATAAATTTTATCTTAGATTCCTACATCAGTGGTACCCATTGGACTTAAAATGAATTTGCAATGTTCTTACTGTGGGATTTATTTATGTATTTATAGATTTTTAAATTGGGGAAGGAGCCATGCTTGTTTGTAAAGAATCCTTGCTTTACTGTACTCTTAGTTGATTGTCCTGTGCTTTTAATCAACGTAGAGTATCAGTTCTCTGGTGTGGTCCCAGAGAATAATCTTGAACTCTCTACTGGGTGGGGAGGCAATAAACTACCAAAAACTTGGTTGTGGAAGAAAACTTTTCATAAATGGTATAGATTCTTGCTACTGCACTAGATAGTTTAAATTGTATCCACAGATCAAGCCAACTTTTACAAAACTGTGCATTCAGACCACATGGTTTGGTCCCCAGCAAAAAAATTTTAAGCTATTGCATGATTGCACAGTGTCATGCCAACTACTTCTATTCTGAGACATGAAAAGAAAGTTTTATCTTCTCTAATAGTGACAATGAGGCTATTCCCCACTACGTCGTTCTGCAGGTCCCGTTTGGAAGTGAACAGAGGAAATTTCTCTCTCATTCACTTCTTCTGAGCAGCTGTTTTTACGATTATTATAAACCACGATTGCTTTTTGTTTTGATTATTGTTTTTACGATTATTATAACTAATCTAGTTTCTGTCTTGGCTTTAGCTGCTTGGAAAGCTTACAGGTGATGCTCTCCCTTGCATTCTAGAATGTGTACAGGATTTTGTGATATGAAATTTCGAGTCTTAACTTTATTTTATCTATTTATCATTAAAATTTCCCTCAAATACTTCCTATGAACTATCAAGGTATAAAATATTATAATTTCAATTAATGGTAAGTTTCTTTAAATTGTATGAGTAGCTTTTTTTTAATTTGAAGCTGAATTTTAACTGGCAATAAAAATAAGTTTGAGGAGCTTTTGTTGTATTAAAATTTTTAATGTTATATAGCAAGTAACATCAGTTTTCTTCTTTTACATATAAAGAAATTGAGACACAAAGAGGTAATATCTCTTACAAAATTAATTTATGAGGGAAAGGGAGGAAATATGAGAGCTAGAAACTTAAAACACTGATGCTTAAACATTACACTATGTCACTTCTCATGAGCAAAGAAATTTTGAAAGATTTGCATTCTAAGATGTATCTTCCAAAGGTAGTTAAAGAAACAAAGAAAAAATACAATTAAATTTTCATATTAACTGGCACTTGGGTGAAATATTTTCTTGGAATTCAGAAGTAATTTTCTGCACTTCTAGATAGACCTATTTTAAAGTGTATATTTTCTGCCTTTAAAAAAATTAAAATAATAAAGTGTGAATAGATATCTCTACAATGAAAGTATGGCTATAAATTAAGATATCTTTACAGAATTCTAAAAAAAAATAAGTTTCCAAATTTGTGGATTTATATATTTACTTAGATTTAAAATTAGAGAAGAAGCAATGTTTATTTATAAGCTTATGGGATTGTAAATTATCTTTACTATCTTGTTCACCACTGTATCTCAGCTGACTTACTAAATTGAAGCCTAGGATTAACAGTCTCATTAAAATTGGAGATACAACATGGATTACTTTAATCTATGTAGTTAACTTTTAATCTATTAGTCAACATATAAATCTATAAAAATCATTACTATAAGTGCCAAGTTATATAATTTACTGTATTTAGGTAATGTAAAGTTGGCTTTACTTATAGCATTGTGTTTTGCTGTCTGGGATTCATTTTAACCATATTTGTTAAAATCTAGGATGTTCTGATTAGCTGAATTTAAAAAATCTTCTTCATACGTTTTCCTATAAGAAATATTCAAGTCATTCAGCAAACCTCAGAGGGGCCAAAACCATGGACAGGAGGTCAGCAGGTAGGATTAGATGGAAAGTATCTGATACTAATGCATATAATAAATTATGTTGTCATTTCATCTAAATGTTGGATCTTTAAGAGATGCACAAATAAAAATTCCTCTTCCCTATGAATTTGGGGAACATGCATAGCCTGCTTTTTATTGAGGTAGGCACCATCAGGAGCTTCCAAGTATTTTAAAATCTAGTAATAGATTTTAAATTCAAAATAAATACCTCACATATCCCCAGATGTCACTTGGTCCTACTAACTGGTCAGATACCAAATACGTGTTATGTGAAGATGAAATAAAATAATCATTTAACGGATGAGTCATATCTTGATAAACTTTTTTACATTCATGTTTAAATAGTAGACATTCGGGTGAATCCATGTATCTTGTAAAACCTTCAAATGACATCTGCTGTTCATTCCTAACTGTAAAAAAGAAAAAAAACAAGTTAAAAGCAGAAATACCATCAGCAAGATAAAAAATTACATCTCACTTGGCAACTTATTCAGCAGTAGAGCATCTTTCTAAAATATTCATTTAGAATTATTAATATTATTGCTAATTTTTCTTTGTAAACAAATTTTTCTAGTGAATACCCTTAATTCTTCCATATCAACATTCAAGTAAAAAATATATTACTTAACCATCTCTTTTTTTTTAACATATATTAAAAACACACACAAGAAAAGTACATATATTATAGCTCAATGAACTTCTGCAAGCTACACATATGGGTAAGTGGCACATAGATCAAAGATAAAGCATTAAGGCACCTAGCAGTCTCCACTAACTTTCCAGTCACTCACTCCACACAAGTGTATTCACTGGTCTGGCTTCTAAAAGCATGGATGAGTTTTCTCTGATTTTTGTGCTTTATCTGAATGGACTCACACAGTATGTATTTTTTGTGCCTGATTTCTCCTACTCAGCATTATGTTTCTAAGATTTATTCCTATAGTTACATATAGTTATACATTATTCATCTTCATTGCTGTATAGTATTCCATTGTATGAATATGCCACAATTTATTTATCCATCTATTCATGATGAGCATTTACATAATTTCCTGTTTGGGGATATTACAAACAGTGCTGCTATAAACAACCAACGCACGTCTTTTGGTGTAAATATGTATACATTTCTGTTCAGTGCATGCCTAGGAATGGAATTGCTGGGTCATTTGCATATGATCTTTAGTAACTTATCTCTGAATGTTTTTACTCATTATAATAATAGAACCCTCCCCTATCTATTAGCTCTATAAATGTTAGTTGCTCTTGTTGCTGTTGACAGTTCATTGTGGCTATAAAGAAAAGTTGACATGTGTACTTACTTTATACTGGAATGTAGTTTATTTTCAGAAATGTATCCTAGAGAAGTAGAGACTCATACAAAGACTGATATGCAAGAATTCTTACACTGGCATTATTTATAACAGCAAAATAAATATAGGAGGGAAGAAACAAATTAAAGCTCAAAATATGTTATAATACTAAGCAGCCATTAAGAAGAATATATCACAAAAAATACATAGTGACCTAAGTAAATGTTTATGACATTGTAAAAGTGAAAATCCAGCATTTTGGTTTAAAAGAATAAAAACTAGGAGAAAATAAATAAAATGTTTATATGCAAAGCCTCTATTTCAAAGCCAGGTAAATTTAGGAAGATGGGAGGGTATGGAGCAAATGAATCATGTATTGTGACAGTAATGATTTGCATACTCTTATTCTTTTTCCCTGTGCAATTAGATTGATTGGCTTAGCCCTTTTGAGCTATTGAATAATGGAGCAAATATCTTTGATAATAGAAGACAAACTCATTTTGTGCCTTTAAAAACTACCAGTTTGAAATGAGGATTAATCACGTGTATTTTTTAAAACTTCATTTGGTATATGTCACATACCAATGAGGGATGAGATTGAGGAGCTATAAGACCATAATTCAAATCGACCTTAATAAGACTCTAAAGTGATCAATAATCACGTAAATGAAATGCACGGTCTTGGCTGTGTATGAGAGTATCTGAGGCAGGTGACGGCTCGAAAGATGAAATGGATGAACATTACAATATTGTAGTTAAAATGCAAACACAATCCCAATATCCATTGCATCTTTTAATTTACCGCCTGAAGATAACAGTATCCAAGTGACTTTTTTTGGTAATACTTACTAGATGAGTGCTACTGAAAGTGTTCACCTGTAAACTGGTTGTTTCCAGTTGGCAATAGCATAAAGAGCTTGACACAGAGCATAAATCAATTCACTACTTCCTTAGACAAAGTCTAGCTATTTAAAAAAAAGAGAGTCATCTGAGCTTGTCAGGTGTGCTTAGTAATCTAGCTGTTTAACATTGTGATGCAAGCTCTTTATCTTGTTGCAAATTTACAAAAGTTTCATGGTGCTCAGACCAAAGTGTTACAGCACTGCACTCAGTCAGACCAACACAATGCCTAAAATGCTCCAAACTCTTTGCATGGCAGTGAGATCATGAAGCCAAAATCTTAATTATGTCTTATAAGACCCTACACCATTTGATCTCTTTCTACTCTCCAAACTCATCTCCTCATTCACCAAGTTCTAAACACACTGTCCTCTCCTTCTGTTCTTTGAATTCTCCAACTCATGTCCAGTTCTCTTCCCTGGACCTCAGAAACGGCTCCCATTTTGTCATGTGACTTGTTCTTTCTTCCTAGTTAAGTCTCGGCTTAACTAAAGGTACCACCTTTAGAGAGGATTTGCCTAAACACCCAAACTGAATTAGACCTCCCATGTCATTTACTCTCTATCACCTTCCCTGTTTTATTTTTTTTTTTCATAGCACTTAGCACTCCCTGAAATTATCCTTTCATATGCTTAATCATTTATTGTCAACTTCCCTGTGACCCCCATCAGGAATACAAGACCCAGTTTGCCTTGTTCTCCACTGTGTATCCCTATACCCTAGGAGCCATAGTCGGTTGCTACAAGTAAATATTTGAATAAATTATGAATGTGTGATTAAGTGAAGGAATGATTTTGGTAGAACCTATATTAGGATATGCTAAACATTGGTACCCTAAACCAACTTTCAAAGGCAGAACTTGGACTTCCATACCTCCCTTGCTAGATGAATATTTTGAGCTATTCTATCAGGTAATTTCTGTGGGGTTAATGTTTTTGTACTCTTATGTGAATATTTTATTATGTTATGTCTTTATTTTAAAATAAGCATAAATTTAAAAATTTGAAATGTTTTGCTCATTGAAAGATGGGATGAAGATGGGACAGATTATATGACAGATCATTAGCCTGCGTGGTCATTTGATTCAAACCAAATGACTATGTGTTCAAAAATGAAGGGAAAGCAAAATATTTTAAATATTTATTGAAATATTGTAGACAATTATATTTATAAGCAAAAGAAAAAGTAGTGATTTTGTAATTTTTTCTTCTTAGCATTTTCATTTAGTTTTTCATATATATTTTCAATAATAAAAATGCTTAACAATGGAAGACTGCCCATAACTGTGTTTTTATCTTATTTATGAGATCAAGATATTTTCTTCTAATAGGGTACAGGTAGCAGAATCCTTACTTTACTTTCACACCTAAGCTTATCTCTGAATGCTTGAGATATATACATGAAAGCAGTTGAAAGAAAGGAGTTGGGCAGTGTAGTAGGAAAGAATGCCATAGTTACACAGTATAGCTTTCTAAAAGGCAATATATGTTCTATAAAATATATTTTCCAGAAGAAATTTGACCCATCCAAAAAATTTTAATTTGATAACCATAACTTACAAAAAATACTTTATATAGATAGATAGATAGATAGATAGATAGATAGATAGATAGATAAAACTTCGAAATGCAGACATACCTTCATCAATGGGCTCATATTTCTGAATGATCTCAACAGCAATAGTTCTACTCATCTCAATTGTATATTGTTCTTGTGTCAGAAATTGAACCAGGTTATATTCAAAGAGAATTTTTCGGTCTTCAGAATATGCATTGAAAATCTCAATAATTTCTTCTCTGTGTGCAATAGTTCGATAAATTGCTCGGAATTCTTCTATGGTGATTCTTCCTTGTTTCAGCCTGTCATTATCCTACTAAAAAAAATGACTGGTGGGCTCACATTGTGAGTATAAACAATACACAAAATGAAAGTTAGAGCATTTATATAATATATTAATATCTATATATAGCAATTTATACTTGAAAGAAGATGAAACTTACATTTGATTCTTATTGTAGATAAAATACGTAAAACTGCATGGAATGATGCCAAAGTTGGAAAAGGGTTAATGGATCATTACCTCTTAAAATCCAGTGTTATGGGGGAAAAGAAAGAGGTCAGGGAGAAGATGAGGATTCCAGGTTGTCCCTCAATTTCACATTTCACACTTTGGTATTCCACTCAATTTCAGTACCTTCTTAAAACCATGCCAGGCAGTGTGCAATCCCATACTACCAATGTGTGGCCTGGACCATACATGTGAGAGAGTGAATCAAGATCACTGTAAGCTGCAGAAGCTGTAGTAGTTATATAACACCTTGAAGAGGTGGAGTCTGAATAATCATTGAAGGATTTGGGGCAGATACAAACAAGAGAAGTTCCAATAAGAAAGAGGGGATTCACCTGGCTGTCTTGGAAAGCTCATATTTGAATTTTATGAAATAAAAGACAAGAAAGTAGTCTGGATCCAGGTATTAAAAGTAACAGAACTACCGTGAGGTTCTGAGTAGGAAAATGACTAGCAAAAGTAGCAGCTTAGTATGATTAGTTGTGCATATCAATTGGAAAAGATGGAGAATTGCAGGGAAGAGAGCAGAGAAGATGCAATTCAAGTGGGAGGTGGGGAATAGACACTAACATCAGTGAAATGATGAAATCAGAAGGATTTAACACATCGAAATTTTAGACGCATGAGGGAGAGAATTCAGGAATCCCTGGGGTGAGGGAGAGTTACAATAACTAGTAGAATTATAGTATCACTAACAAACAAAATACTGAGGAATAGGGAAGATCAGCTTAGAGGGAGATTTAATTTTTAAAAAAAGACTTTTTTTCCTCCCTTACGTCTTAACTCTCATTACATTGTAAACACCTTGAAACAAGGAGCCCGTGCTAAAGAGGAATTGTTTTGTGGTAGAAAGCTGAGAGAATTTGTAGACAGAGAAGACATGATATTCCAAACTCCAAAGTGTGTGGGACTTTGGACATTTAAATTAAGCTTTCTGAGCTTCATGTTCTTCATCTGAAAATGAGGATGACGGTACATACACCCTACGTCATTAGCCTGCTGTGAGGACTGGAGATAGACAATGAATGCTAGTTCTAGATGTTTGTGTATTGTTGTATATTCTCTATGTCTGCTTCCCTCTCATCACCCAGCCGAGGGTATCCTGTTATCACAGTTTTTTCTATCCAGTATACACCATTGTAGAACACCTAGTATGTGACAAGAGACGAACATGCTGGAAATGATCTCCACATTTCATTAGGAAAAGGTCAGTGGTGGCTACTCAAGAGTTTGATATGAAGGGACCAAGAAGCAGTCTAAGCTGGGAACAAAAGAGTCATTTCAAAGAGGACCACGAATCTACACATACAGAGCACCTGGAAGTAAAGTACCCATGGAAATGAGATGGAGATGAACTTGGGAGAAAAACTGGGATCTGTGGTTGTCAAATCAGATGTTGGGTCTCCAGGGCTCATTAAATAATAACACCTTAAAAATCATATAATCTTAAAGTAATTCATGCATATTGTCCATTGTCTTAGTGAACTAACATAGTTTAACTTACCATTTTTTAAATTCTGGATTTTGAGGTTCATGGAAGTAGATGTTACAGAATTAAAATAATTTTATTTCAGCCCCATCCCAGTCCTAATTTGACATAAGATCTTAAGCAAGTCAATAAAAATCAAAATATGCCTGTACTTCCTAAAAATTTTTGTTATATAAAATCATATAAATAAAAAAATTACAGTCCTACCAAATAACAGCATAAAATAAAATATACATTATCCACTAAGTAATGAAAGTTTTATTACTTTCAAGCGGAGTATAAGCTTGGTCATCTGAAATGCCCTCTGATAATATGTTTTGTCTTGTGTTTTCCTGAAAGATCAAAGTTGCCATCGGATACTGAAATGAATTGGAGACATAAAGTCTCAACAACATTCCATAAATTAAAATAATTGCTATAATTGATCAAAACCAAAGAAGAATTGAGGGTCAAAATTAATCAAATTACTGAAAAATAAAAGCCGCACAAGATAATGAGAGTTTTATCATTAAAGATGGGAAGATCTAATAATAGTAGAAGGAGGAAAGCAACAAGGAGTAAGTAATATCGAAGAAGAAAAACAGGACCCAGTAAACAGAGTCATGATCTGGAGAAGCCAGAGGAAGAAAAGCAATGAGCAAGAAAGATGCAAATCTGAGCAGTGAGGCATGTGATAGCAGCTAAAATTTAAGAGTACCAACATATTAGAATTTCCTATAAGAGGAAACTGAACCTCAAAAATCTTATGTAAGTTGGCCCCAGTCCAACAGGCATGGTAGACCAGGATTTGAACTAGCTCCAAACCCACAGAGAGGAGCAGTGGGAAGAGAGAAAGTCAATACACCATTACACAGATTAACAGTATAGAAGCAGAAATAAATTCTGTAAAATGCAGATCTGATGATTTCAACTCCCTCTTTATTTATTTATTTATTTATTTTATTTTAGCGTATTATGGGGGTACAAGTGTTAAGGTTACTTATATTGCCCATGCCTCCCCTCCCCACTCGAGTCAGAGCTTCAACGTCTCCGCGTAGCACCTTTGTCTTTCAAGACAAAACCCCAACTAATCGTGTAGCATCAAGTCCCTGTAAGGCGTCATGGATGTTTTCCACTCTTACCCTTTTTCTCCTGGCACCCCACGCTTCAGGTGTTCAGAATCAGTTATAGTACAGCCACCAAGATATCTCTTGCTGTGCCACAGGCTGTTCTTTCTTTTTGGAATATACTTCTTTTCCTTTTTAATTTATTATAATAATCTCTACTAGTTCTTGAAAAAGTGTCATCTCTCCTAGAAGTCTTCACTATGTCCCTCTGTATCTACTCCCTAAGCTACATAAGATACCCTTTTCCTGGGTTCTTACTATAAGACCCTGCACCCTCTGAACCAGGGTTTATTACACTGGAATGAAAGCCTGTTCCCATATTTCTTCTAGAATTGCCTCAGACAGCAAGTTTGCCATTTGTCTCTTATATCCTCAGTACTTAAAAGAGTGTCTGGCTGAAAGTATTTGGAACAGGGTCTACCACCCCAATGATTTTATGAATCTGATGAAATATGTGCATTTAAGAGTAATAATTAGATAAAGGAGTTATATATCCCCCTAGCCTTAAGGAGAACAGGAAGAGAGATTTAAAAATGCATATTACAGAAAATATGCAAAATCCCAGGCCCCATCTCAGGGTACACTACCAGTTTTTAAAGTTTTACACACTTAAATCACTTAAAAGTGCAATATAAAATAAGAGTAATAAAGCCATTTTTCTCCTATTTTTATATAAAGTGTTCCTTAAGTGGTTATTCTTTGCAAAGCATTACAGAAAAGAACTTTCCCAAACAAGTCATTCAATGTTAGTGTTATCATGCAGAAATATACTTTTATACTTTAAGACCATGAACCCCATGCAGGCAAATATTTCATTCTTCTTTTTATTCCTAGTACCTAGTACCAAACCTACCCTAACATAGCATCTTAACAATTATATGTTTAAATGAATGGTTAAATAGAAGTAAAATCAAATAATAACATCATTCCATTTATAGTCATTCTGCTAGTATACTTTCAGAAAACAAAATAAAGACTTTCCATACTGTTACCATCTTTCATGGCTCAGCTTGCTAGTACAAATATGAAATGTAGTTTAAAATAAATGATGTCATGAGAAAGGTGATTTATCAAAACACAGAATTTACTTTTAACATAAGAGGTAGCATTTTACAATTTATTGCCTCGGAAAGTATGCTAATGTATTACAGGAAATGACATGGCATTAGTTTAAACTGTTTGGCAACTTTGTCTTCTTCCTGTACTCCTTCCCTTTCTTCCTAACCAAATAACTTTGTCTTCTTCCTGTCTTTCTTCCCTTTTTTCCTAAGCAAGTACCGTGTTTCTCCAAAATTAAGACCTACCCATAAAATAAGCCGTAGCAGGATTTCTAAGCATTTATGCAATATAAGCCCTACCCCGAAAATAAGACATAGTGATGGGCGTGGCTGTGCAGTGTATCTGCACAACCCATGCATTTCGTCAAGGAGTGGTAAAGAAGACCAGCAGCCCTTCTCATCTGCCCCGTAGTGACAGCTATTGTACTATCCCAGAGGTGACCAGAAAGGTGCGGGCAGCCCCACCAACAAGGTCGGCTCCCCCTATCAGGACCCGGCCATCCTGTGCATGCTGCAAGCTGAGGCTTTGAGGGGAAAATAACACATCCCCTGAAAATAAGCCCTAGGGCGTCTTCTTGAGGAAAAATAAATATAAGACCCTGTCTTATTTTCAGGGAAACACTGTATGTCAGTCAGATACTACACTGGGTAATAAGGATGCCAAGGTAATACATCATCATTGCCCTCTGGAAGTTTCCAGTCCAGAAACGGAGAGCAGGCAATGAAAGAGTTAGAGGTGCCACAATTTCCACCCTATAGAGAGAAGATGCAATAACGTTGGACGATTCTTCCTGGAGGGCCAAAAGAGAATCTTTACAGAAAAAGTGGTCTTAGAGGTCAGTCTTCAAAGATGAGAAGGAATGTGTTTGCCCAAAAGGGAGAAGGAACGGACTTCATTCTAGGTGTTGGGACTGGAGTAAATACATGCACAAAGGTGAGAGAAGAGCAGTATCAGATGTTATGATGGCTGGGATAAGCTCTAAGCCTGGAGAGGCTCAGACTTCTTTCAGAAACAATGAGGAGTTATTGATAAGCTTTAGTTATTGATACGTTTTAGAAGTTATTGATAAGCTTTAGGGAGAAAAATCACATAGATTATTTTTTTAGAAGGTAGCTCTGGCAGCTATATAGAAGGTAGATGTTGGGATT